CAAATAGTGAAGCTCTGTTTCAAAACCAAACACAACAAAAAGATCAATAATGACAAAAATTCTTGTTCTTAGGTGGGTGTGGTGGTGCATGCCTGTAATCCCAGCACTTGAGAGGCAGAGACAGGAGGACTGTTACAAGTTTGAGACCAGTCTGCATTACAAAGTGAGCTCAAGGCCAGCCTGAACTGCACAGTGAGACCATGTCTCAAAAAGACAAAAAAAAAATTCCTGTTCTTAAATTTCATGTAAGTACAATTATATAGTTTCCTCTCTTGTGTCTACTTTTCAAAAATGTGGTACTGGGGATTGAACCAAGGCCTTTGTACTGAGCTACATTCCCAGATCTTTTTTAATGTAAGTTATTCTTTATTTTGAGACCAGGTCTTGCTAAGTTATTAAGTGTCCAGGTGGAGCTTGAACTTGTGATCTTACTGCCTCAGCCTCCCAGGATACTAGAATTATTGTCCTGCTCTACCGTGCCCAGCTTATGTCTCGTTATTTTTGTTCAACTTTATGTGAGTGAAATCCATACATGAATTCACACAATAATAGTTTGTTCTTTTTTCCCCATTGTTATATAGTTTACACTGACTGTATCTGCCACACACATTTATCCATTCTAGATTTGTTAGGCATGTGAATTATTTCTGATGTGGGGTTGTTAGGGTAGGACTGCTGTGAAGAATTTTGTGTTTTGATGCATATATACACATATTCTGTTGTGTGAACTTGCTAGGTCATAGGATAAAATGTTTTCCAATGTGATTGTACTAATCTGTTGTTTTAATTTACCCACCAACCAGGAGATTGTGAGTTCTAGTTGCTCTCCAACAGTTGATGTAAGTTTTCACTGAACTTACTTTTTTAGCTCTTCTGGTGTGCAGGTACCTTGATATAGTTTTTATTTGAATTTCTCTGATGAATAACAAAGTAAATCTTTTCACATGCTTACTAGCCACCTGGATATCCTCTTTTATGATAGAGTCTGTAGTAGAAAATCTAGAAAATCTTCATCAGTTTGGAATGAGCAAGGATCTTAAATAAAACTACACACACACACAACTATTTAAAAGGAAAAAGTAAAGTGGAATACTATGGCACAAACCTATAAACTCAGCTATACAGGAGGCTGGGGCAAGAGGATTGCCAGGTAAGGTAATTTAGAGAGACCCTGTCTCAAAATAAATTTTGTTTTGTTTTGTTTTCTGGACACAGAGTATTGCTATGTTCTTTGGACTGAACTTGAATTTATTATGTAGCCCAGGCTAGCATCGAACTCACCGTAATCTTCCTACCTCATCTTCCCAAATGCTAGGATCAAAGGTATGTGCCTCCATGCCCAACCAGAACCAGAATTTTTAAGAACTCTTAAAAATCAATGAAAGAAGCCAGGCATGGTGGTGCATGCCTGTAATCCTAGCACTCAGGAGCCTGATGCAGGAGGATTGCCACAAATTTGAAGATAGCCTGGGCCACATAGTAAGTTCAAAGCCAGCCTAAACTACACAGTAAGACGCTGACTCAAAAAACAAACAAAAAAAAGTTAGTATTTGTAATACTTTGCATCACTTCATTTGTAAAGAAAATTCAGTGTAAGTCTTTTGTCCAATACTGCATTGAGTTGTCAGTTTCTTTTACTGATTTTTTTGTTTTGTTTTTTGAGACAGGGTCTCACTACATAGTTCAGGCTAGCCTGAAACTCACTGTGTACCCCAGGCTGGCCTTCAGTTACATTGACTGCTGGGATTACAGGGATGTGCCACACCCCAGGCTCACTAAAGTATTTTTTATTATATTTGGGTTTTTTTGCCTGAGTCTTTAGTAAAGGTTTATTTGATGCAATTTCATTGCTTTATATCTGCACGACTATTTACCAACTGTAAATCAGACATAACCAAGTCTTTTGAACCATAATTTATCCTATTTTGAGTTCAGAAAGTTTAGTCACAGTAATTACTTGATCTAGTCTAGCTCCCCACCCATCTGAGCCCTTATATGATGCATGAACCCCTATTCTCAGGACTTCCAAACGCTCCAACAAAAACATAAAAGCAATGATTACTGCCTCTGCCTTAGGGATCAGGTGGATATTCGAGCTCAGAAAGAGCTCTCATCTGCAGGTCCTTTAGAAAAATCTCAACCTCATCTTTCTGTACATTTCCTGGGTCTCTCTCCAGAAGCTGACCCCCGCCCTGAGCTACATATAAACTCCTCTCCCTCACCACCACATGCTTGGAAAACTCTTAACACCCCACTGTGGAGAGAGATGGCAGGTAAACTGTAAGTGCTTTCCTTAGAGAAAAAACACTAATGCACCCACGAGACAGACCAGGGCAGGCTCTGAGCTCTCTAATCCCCTGCTGGCTGGACCCTGGCCCAGTTGAGAAACCTATAAATATCCATTTTCTTTTCTCCCACTTTAATTCAGAAAAAGTTTATTTTTAAAATTGGAATTGAGTTATAGTTCACTAACCCCTTTTGAATGTCAGAGACTCAGAGTGGGAAAGCCAACTTTAAAGGAAGGAGAGTTGTGGACACAGCTGTCTCCTGAGCACCTCAGACACCAGGCTTATGCTTAAGTCACTGCCCTCAACAGGCTCACAGTCTGCTATGGACCAGTAATAGCCAAAATAACAGCTAGATTTTTGTTTGCTTGCTTTTGTTTGTTGTGGCAAGGTCTTGCTATTTTGCTCACATTGGCCCTGAATTTGCTTTGTAGCCTAAAGTAGCATCCAATTAGTGATCCTCCTGCCTCAGCCTCCCAAGTGCTGAGATTTACAGGCATGTGCTACCTCGACAGCCTCTTTATTTTTTATTTTGAGACAAAGTCTCACTAAGTTGCCCAAGGTAGGCTCAGACTTACAATTCTGCCTCAGCCTCCTAGAGTGCTAGGATTAAATGTGTGCACCACATTCAGTTTCTGGAAAGTCTTGGTCACTCTTCTGAGAGATCTCTGATCTTACGCAACTCACTTTAATAGCCTCTGTGGAGCCTCTGTTTCAGGGTTTGTAAAACTTCCCACACTTAGGTAAATTTTCTCGGTTTGATTTGTGACCCAAGGCCCCCAAGACTCAGTAGATAAACCCAGCTAACGAGCTGGCTAAGGAAGTTTTCACTTCACCCTACATTGCAGTTTGACTCCCTTCTGTCTCTGGAGGGCTTTAGAGAAGACCGGAAAGAAAACTCTTCAGGGCTTTTCCCGGGCTTTTGGTTACTGCCCTTCCCCACCACATGATGCTTCTCCTTCCCGGACCCCTCTCACCATATGCACAGAAAGACGTGTTTCCGGGAGCCCAACAAGGCAGAGACATCCCTCTGCCCCTGGACTTGCTCCTCAGGGAGCCCCGTGCCCGTGCTGGGGGAGCCCATGTTCACCACCTTCTGCTTTTTTTCATGAGTCATGGCTGTGTCTGGAAGGTGCTGAGAAAAGCTGGTGGTGTCACCTCCCAGGGCTAAGGAGAGGTCTCTGGCTTCTGCCACTGCCTCCTCCCTCCTGTCCACCTGATCACCACTTGCGCAGGATGGCTCTGGGGATTGCTGGCTGGTGGTGGTGGTGGTGGTGGTATTGAGTTTTGCTTCGTCTCTCTCTTAATTCAAAACAGATGGAACAAGGAAATGAAGAACAGTTGACAATTCTAGAAGCCACTTATCTTTGGCAAATATCAAAGGGAAAGTAGAAGCTCATTCAGTAAACAAGTATTTAAAATGCAACTTGAGAGCTTATGATGACCCAGATTAATCCAGCCCAACAAATATAATGTGAACCATGCATGTACTTTAAAGTTTGTAAGCCAGGCCTGGGACTGCAGGCCTGATCCCAGTACTCCAAGGGGCTGAGGCAGGAGGATTGCAAGCTCCAGCCCTGCCTGGTCAATTTATTGACTTAGTGAGATTCCATCTCAAAACTGAAAAAATAACAAAGGGGTGGGTATGTAGCCCAGAGCAAAGGCCCTTGGTTCAATCCCTAGGACAGCAGTCAATCAATCTAATAAAATCTCTAGTATCACATTAAAAATTAACATTTTACTCTTTTTTATATTAAGTGTATTTTATTTATTCTTTCTTTTTTTTTATTTTAGTGTGTGTGTGTGAGACAGAGTCTTGCTATGTAGTCCAGGCTGACCTTGAACTCACCATGAGCCCAGGCTGCCCTCAGATCTGTGGTGATCCTACTGCCTCAGCTTCCTGAGTGCTGGGATTACAGGCGTGCACCACCATGCCTGGCTTATTCTTAAAGCACATCTCAGTTCAAACTAGCCGCATTTCAAATTTTCAATGGCTCCATGTGGCTCCAGTGGGTACAGTACTGGGTAACACAGATCTACCTAGAAATACATCTTACCATCATACTTACGAGACTATGCTAAGTAATTAGTGAGTAGATTAATAAGATACTTTTAGATGACCATAGATACTAGAAAAAGTATAAAAGTAATGAGATAGCAACTATGGGGAAGGATGGGAATACTACTATTTTCTGGAGTGGCATCCTACAACATGTGGAAGCACTCCTACTTTAGATGCTGAGGAAGCCATCAGGAGAAAGGGACCCTGAAGCAGACAGCTGTGAAATAAAAGTGGATCTGGCCTCTGCAGATGCAAGGGAGAGCCTTCCCGGCAGAGCGAGAGGAAGAGCCATAGCCGGAGGGATCGAAATGCCTGGCTGGGCTGCCTCAGAGGCCCGTGCCTGGAGCCCTGAGGCTGGGAGAGTGGAAGGACAAGGTGCGGAGGAGGTCGGCAGGAACCAGAAAACCCTGGGCTTCAGCATTCTAGCAATGGTGAGGTTTAAATTGTAATTGCAAAAGGGGTCCCTATCTTCTGGATGGAGACTGGATCAGAAGGCCGATAAAGAAAAACCATAAAGACTAGTTGAAGGAGGCATTGTCCAGGTGAGAGAGGGCTGAAATGTGAATGACCTCAGGACCCGCTTTGAAGACAGGACTGATAGGCCTTGCGAACAGATGATGGAAACAGAACGAGAAATAAATCACAGACGTCACCTTTAACTTTGGCTTGAGCACACGGATTCCTGCGCTTGGAGCTTCTGAGTACACGCATCCTGTAGTCAGAAAACCGGCTTTCCTGGTTTGGAATGAGAATTTGCTTCCAGAATTTCCAGCCAGCAGATGTATCCCCGCTCTCCCACTGCCTGTGATTATGTTCTCCTGAAGTCTGTAAGGAATTTGCAAGCTCCCTTGCCAAGACCGCATTCCTGAGAAGAATGTTCCTGTGCATTTTGGCCCAAAAAGTGCCGAGAAGTTGCCCCCGCCCCTCAAATCAGTTACAACACAGAACAGGTGAATCAGCCTAAATCAACAGGCAAATTTGTCCCTGATTGGAGAGAGAACTGACATACATTCTAAGACCAACAGTGCACTCTGACTGAGGCACCAGAAAGCCAAGCCTATGTGCCTGTTGCTAGAAAAACAACCACAACAACCAAAATCACCTGTGCAGTTTGAGACGTAAACAAGAGCCTAGGAAAATTTCCCAGCAGCACTTCCTTGTTTCCTCAGGCAAATGTAGAACTTTAGGGCACATTTCAAACAATGACGGGACTGTATATGAAAATTTGCACAAATATTTACCTTGTGAAATGGTGTGTATGCATAGGGTGAGGCAGGGTGGTGCGCTGAAGCAGGCCGGAGAATTTACAGAAAGAAAATAAATGCCTGATTTCTATCCTTTCCCTTCTGCTGCCCAGGGGGAGAAGTAATAGGAGCCAAGCACTTAGCAACTACACTAAAACAGAATTAATAGCAGTTTTGCTGCCCAGAAATAATTCCCCTAAGAAAAATTATTTCCCTGAAGACCCAAATGCAGGGCTTAGCATGCCTGAGTTTAAATCCTGGAATTGGCTGAATCACATTAACTAGGAGGAAGGGAAGTTTCCCGTTTGATTTGGATTTCATCTCTTCCTAGCACAAGCCAGCCCTCGGGCCAGCCCAGGGACCACTGCTCCCTAGATTCAGGAGATGGAAGGATGCGGCCTAAGGTGTTTCAGCCTGGGCTACAAGAGCTTTTCAGCAGTGAGCGGAAAACCTGAGCCTGCCTCTCTGTTAGCATTTAATGACTCCTGGGGAAGCAAGCCTGCCTTTCTCTCCACCGCAGGCCCAGTTCCTTTCCTCGCTTTTCTCCACGCCCACGCTGCTGGACTGTGGTGGACACGTGGTCTAAAGGCCAACCCCATGCAGCTCATTTCCAAGGGTAGAATAGTGTCACCTGACGCTCACACCCACAGGGACTCGGGAGAAGAGGGTGTAGCTGTCCAGTGAGTCCAAGATAGGAATGGACAGAAACGGAAACAGAGGCAAGGAGGGAGGGAGAAAGAAAGTTTGTGGAGAAGAAAGCCAGCAGCTTCATACAAACCAATTCAGACTTCTTTTGCACAACCAATAGGATTGCAGATACTGACCTGGGGATTTTTTTTTTTTTTTTTTTTTGAGTCAGGGTCTGGCTACATAGCTCATACTGGCCTTGAACTTACTATGTAGACCAGGCTGGCCTCAAACCCATGGAGATCCTCCTGCCTCAGCTTCCCAAGTGCTGGGATTGCAGATGTGTACCATCTCCCCTCGATTTTTTTTCTTTTCTTTTTAACCATTATATGATGCATCCTCCAAGTGATATCCATAGCCTTCACCATCTTTTTAAAAAATATTTCCTTTATGTATTTTCACCCTAAATTTGTTACAGCCATAGACACATATTTCAGCAGTAGGCTGTTTCTATGAGAACTAATCTTTCAGTCAATTATGTCTCATATTCCCTACAATTACCAAAGACAGAAAATACAGATCAGCTAATCCCTGCAGTAGTCTGATAATGCTGTCTGTCTATGACGTAGCTCATCCGAGTGGGGTTATTGGAGCTAATCTTGTGCCTAGAGAACAGAGATCCAGAAGCCAGGTGTCCTAGAATTGAATTTCAGTTTTGCCATTGCGTTTTAAAATTTTCAACAAGTCTCTCCTTTGTACTGCTTACTCCTATAGGTGATTTAGTAAGACACCAATTCAAGAGCAGGCACAATTCTAGTTCTTCTTTTGGTTTTTATTTTGGTTCTTATTATTGTTGGTTTTTTAAATTTTTATTTGTGTGGGTATTTTTGAGACAGAGACTCACATGTATTTTAGGCTGGCCTTGAACTCACTATGTAGACCATGCTGGCCCTGAGTTTGTGATGATCCTCCTGCCCCAGCCTCCTGAGTGTTGGGATGAAAGACCAATGCCATCATGCCTGGCTTGTCTGGTTGTACAATGGTTGCATTGTTCTGTGAATTTCTTAAAGCTTGGAGAAAGAGGATTTGTAAATTGCTTGCATTTTTATGTAATAGGTAAGCATTTAGGAGAATCTACTCAACAATAAACAACATTCCAATCTCAAATAAAACTTTGATTTTTGGTTTTTTTTAATTTTTTTTATTTTTTTGTCTTTTTGAGACAGGGTCCCACTATACAGTTCAGGCTGGCCTTGAGCTCACTTTGTAGCCTAGGCTGCCCTCAAACTCACAAGGATCCTCCTGCCTTAACCTCCCAAGTGCTGGGATTAAAGGCATGGGCTAACACATCCAGCTTCTTTTTAAAATTTTATAATAGTAGCTCACAGTTTTTCTTTCTTTCTTTCTTTCTTCCTTTCTTCCTTCCTTCCTTCCTTCCTTCCTTTCTTTCTTTCTTTCTTTCTTTTTTTTTGGTACCAGGAATCAAACTCACGACCTCATGCTTGCCAGTCAGGCAGGTGCTGTGCCACTGAGCTATATCCCTGGCTCAAAACTTTGAATATCTTCACTCACAATACACAAATCTTAAAAATTCACCAATGCATCTTGGTGGCCTGTCCTCCATCAGCTTTCAGGGCCTGGGCCTTGCACAAGCCAGGGAAGCAATCTGCAGGGAGATTCTGCGATAGGACACCACACTTACCCACACAGATTTGCTTTTCATTTCAAGAGACCTGGAATTGCCTTGCCTCCTGGAGAGGAGAGAAGGAAGAAGAGAAGGGAAGAAGGATCAGTCTTCTCAGCAGCCTGGACGAAACACAGCACTGAAGCGGAGGCAGCTCTGAGCCTCAGAGGCCATCTGCATAAGTGACAACTGGGAGCAGAGGCCAGGTCTGCTCCAGGAGCCCAACACGCTCAGGAGGAGGAGAGCTGGAACTCAGAGCCCAGATAGAAGTACAGTCCGGTTACACCAATGGTTCTTGTGTGTCTATTTTTTTATTAGTACATTTAGATATAATAAATACATTCTTCATAGGGAATTTATACATGTACATGACATACCTTGCTTTTTTTCCCCATTTCCCTCCCTTCAGCTCCTCTTGCCCTCCTTATTTACAAAATCTTTCTTTCCCTTTTTTTCTTCTGTTCTTTTTTCTTGTCCCTTCCTTCCTTTCCCTCTCCTCCATCCCTTGTTCCCCTTCTCACTTGAACATTTTCTTCCCATTTCCCGATGTCGATCATACATTTTGGTCTTTATTTACACTTTCAGTTTCTTGGGCTGCACCAGAGAAAATGCAGTATTTAAACATGTGTGTCCAATTTATTTTACTTAAGAATATGGTCTCAAGGTGCATCCATTTAGTTAGAAATTTCTCAGGCTTATCTTGTTTCCAGTCAGTCATGAATATATTTTGTGTTATTTGTTTACTGTTTACCATTTAACTCTCTCAGGAGAATGTGAGCACTGCCATGCGTTGTAGCACATGCCTGTAATCCCAGCACTAGGGAGGCTGAGGCAGGAGGACTGCTGCAAGTTCAAGGCCAGCCTGGGCTACAAAGTGAGTTCAAGGCCAGCCTGAACTGCGTAGCAAAACTCTGTCTAAAAAAAAAAAAAAAAAAGGGGGCTGGGGATTTAGCTCAGCGGCAAAAGCGCCTGCCTGGCATGCACAACGTCGTGAGTTCAGTTCCTGGTACCGGAGAAAAACCAAAAAAAAAAAAAAAAAAAAAAAAAAAAAGAATTGAGTGCTGCTTAGGTAGGGATACTGTGTGTTTTATTTCCATTATACCCTCCAGGCCTGGTAGAGTGTCTCACATTCAGTGAGCACTCAAAAACAACTGTTGGGTGAAATAATAATAAATGGGTGATTTAGCTTTTTTCAGGTCCTGGACTCCTTTTAAAAAATCAGATGAAAGTTCTTAAAATAGGCATGGTAGGGTACACCTATAATCCCAGTACTTGAGAGACTGAGGCAGCGAGTTCAAGGCCAGCCTGGGCTACATAATGAGTTCAAGACCAGTTTAAACTCAAAAAAAAAAAAAAAAAAAGAATTCTTATTCCTCCCTTCATCCCAAATATACATATTCAATTTAATATATGATTTATCTTTTTTGTGGCAGTGAAGATTGAGCCCAGGGCCTTCTCACAGAGTTATACCCCACCACATCTTCCCCCTTTTTTTGAGACAGGGTCATGCTAAGTCTCAAAAACAGTTGTCCAGGCTGAATTTGAACTTCAATTCTCCTGTCTCAGCCTCCCAGAGTGCTGGGATTATAGGAACATACCACCATACTTAGCTTATAAATTAATTTAAAATGTAATTATATTCTACATAAATTTATATTTATATATTAGTTTATATAATTTAACATGTATAATAAGTTACATTACATAGTTTATAAACATACTATTGAATCTTCCTATGCAAAGACCCCAGTTTCCAAGGACACTCTTGCTTTACTTCAGGCCCCTGGTATTCCTAAAAAGCTCATAAAGAAAAGATCCGGTGTCCTTGCATTCTCCAGGGGAACAGGGAAGAGATCAAAAGTGGGACTCCAGCATCTTCTAACTCCTGGACAAAGACACCTTGCACTGCCCTTGGAGATGCCGGATGCTCCTGGATCATGTGACCAGTAAGAAGAGACCCTCGGTGAAAGAAAATAGAAAACACTCTAAATTTTCAACACAGAAAACTCGAGTTTAAACTCAGCCCCGCAATATAATGACTTGTGCACCAGGGAAATAGAGCAGCTGGCAGAGCTTTAAATGCAGCAGGACGCTGTGGAGCAGTTACAAGGTCTGTGTCTTGGCAGCCTCCCGCCCTGCTGTGCTGGGGAAGAGACTGAATGAGACACAGGCGGCGTCCTTAACAGTGTGATGCTGTAGAGTCCGAGCTAGCATGTGATGCTGTGCAGGCTCCCTTCACAGGTGGATGGTGTGATGGCCGGTGCTGATCTCCCTGGTGACCTGTTCCAGCACAGCACAGGCTGCATCATGGTGTTCCAACCAATAACAGACCTCATCTACAGCAGGGGTCTCATAAGATTATGATGAGCTAAAAAATGCCTGTCACCTAGTGATGTTGTAGCCATGCTAGCAGCAGAGCAGCGCATCACTCAGGAGTTTGTGGGGTTGCTGGTGTAAACACACTCCCGGCACCTTCAGTCATGCGGAAGGACAGCACCTGCGCTTATGTGCGGTGTGTAGTCCTTGATCGTGATAATAAAC